AAATTCACGTGTTGCATAATGCTTAAAAAAAATGCTTAATTCTTCCTAAAAAATTGTAAGCTTAATGCTTCAAAAAATCTAAATAAAGATCATAAACAAAGAATACAAACAATAATGTGTTTCAAATGTGACTACATATAAATAAAGAGCATTATCCATGAATTGCAGTACACTAAAGTGCAAATGATTATCCTTGACTAGACATCAAACACGGACAAAGTTCATGAACGAATTTTGCTCTAAATCTTAACATGCTTTGCTACCAAACTTTGTGATAATCCCAATTTATTGGCTCTATGCCCACCAATTTTTTCCATGCATTTGTAAACAAACATTTCAGTCAATGTTGTTTATTTGTGTTGGTGATCCTCTGCGTGCACTAATTGGCAAGTCATTTGAATTTGAATCAAAGACATTGTCGACATCTTCATTAATGAGTTTGACCTTCAAAATGAATAATTTATGTAAAAAACTTTTAAATTAATAACTAAATTAATGATGAACAATTTAATAATGTGTTACTGAATTTCTTTACAGTTTGCTGAAATATATCCTTTTGTGTTTTTTTTTTCAGAAGTGAGTCATATAAATGTAATTTCTTCGACTTCAATTCTTAAACCAAATAGAATCCAATTCTAATTATTAACAATTGGAATCATTAGAAGTTTGGATTTTTCAACATTTTTTTTTTACGTGACTCACGAAACTCATACTGTCAATTTTATGACTGGAAAAAAGCTTGCCAAATTAGTGCATATATGTCAATTACAAATACGTATGGGGGTAAATTCCTTATCAATAATATAAGCTATAAGGTAATGTGTATAATTACCCAATGCATGAGTGATATATACAATTATGGTTTGTACAAGTATGGAGTTTTTTAATTCTTATCATCCAACAAAACAACAAAGACATCAACATGCTCATTGGATAAGTATTGATTTGTCAGAATTTTATCAATGGATGATCAACTTATTATTATAAATTCTTGAATAACCATTATATCACTAGTACAGTTTCAACATATAAAAAACTTGATAGATAAATATAACTCATTATGGATCTAATTAGCGTTTAGAGAAAAAAAAAAGACTATCTTATCATTGAATCTCTAACAGCATTGGTCGATTGCCTCCACCATATATATTGATATCTTTACTCTCAATGAAAAGTCGACAACAGACTCTGCATGATGATGCTTCATATACAAATAATAATGTATTTTTGAAGATAATGTGATGTTATGATACATATAAAAAGAAATGTTTTAATGATACCTTAATTTCATAATCATTTGCAAACACTCTATAAACCTCCTTCTCTTTTCCATTTTGAAATCCAACAATTATTGGGTCTACCGGGGTTTCTAAATTAACAATATTTGCATCCTCTTCCTCCTTATGCACAAGAATAGAAACCTTCTTCCCCTTAATTTCAACTCCCTTTGATTCCTCGTCAGCAATAAATTAAGCTGCCTTTGACACCTTCTCATCTGGTTTAGCAACAATGCTATCAGTTTTTTATCTTCTTTAATTAAAATTTAGTGTAAGGGGATCCTAATTTTCTTTTTTTTCCAGGTTTGTCTTGATTTGACTCTCCGTAAAATACTGCTTAGATAAGATTTATATATTAGTTTTTCTTTCTGTTTTCCCTCAACAATTGCTAATTTTATCTCTAGTTGATTTATTTTATTATGAAGTTTGATTATGCTCCTGGCATATTAGTAAATGAACTAGTTTTTCAATGTTTGTTTGTTATTCAAAATTTATTGAAGTTGGAGTGTAAGGAGTAGTTGGTTCAACACAATATCTAGGAGGTGAGGGTCGGATTGAGCTATTGAACTTTGTAGTGAGAGAGCTAGAAAATGGACATGAAGAATCGTGGGTTAATGAAGAAAGAAGAATTTGTTCCTCAGCCGTTAGGTCCGTAAAAGTATAAAAAAGCTGCAATAACCAATCAAACAATAAACATGTTATATATGCAAAACTATTGTCACCCAATATTTGGAAAAAAGTTAACAATTTTGTTACCTAATTAGTAGCAAGTTTTTTAAAAATATATCTACAGAAATTGTGCTCCAGACTCTCATTTTCGATTACTTGAGCATGTGAGGCCTTGCATCAGGTGAGTTGGGAGCAAGAATGGATAATGCTCAATAAATTAAAGCTGTGAAAAGAATTCATTAGTATATATGCTATAAAAATAAAAGTTTGCTTTATACAAAACACACTAAATGTTAAAAAAATAATAAAAAATAAAACCATTCATTTTATCCTAGCGATTGTTTGTGCCTTATTTTACAAACAACAATATCAATTTGCTCAATAAGAAAATCACAAATGACACTTGACCAATTGAAAGAGGAGAAGCTATGGACATTTTTGGTAAAACCGTACAACCTAATAAGCATAATGTTGTTGCTTGATGGAAAAAAAAAGATCGTCAACGAAGACATGATGCATAATTCTACAATAGGTGTAGAATACTCCCCTAAATCAACTTTTATCAACACATTCTTTATTTGTATTAAATTGACGCTGGATAAGGAATACTTACCCCAGTTAGCGAATTCTCCTCTATTCAACATACCAATAATTAGGGTAACTTTATTTGAATTGAAGCTTAAGCTTTTGACACCAATTCTGAAAACCTTTTGGCCAGTATCCCAACATTTTAAAATTTGTAATGTCAGTGAATTTTCTTGATAGTTTGAAGGCATATCGAAAAATTAGAGGACATGTAATTCCTTTAGAATATTTTTAGTTTATGCATTCATACGCCAAAAAATTATATCACAAACAACTCTAATAGAAGAACGTCTACATTTACATGTCAGCGTTCTTGCGTAGATTTCAGTACAAAAGAAAAACACGTAAAGACAAAAATGTGTTAGTAGAGAAAATCTAACATAACAATGAATTTTTTCTTACAAAAAATGTGCATTATATCATAATCAGTTTTTTATCACAAAATTGATTCTATTGTGTGAAAAAACAACATACCACAATATTACCATCATAATACCATCAAAATATTATCATATTACCACCATATTATCAACTTTATACCATCAAAATATCAACAAAATTTTACAAAAAAAAAATCATCATAATACCCCCACATCACAATCCTTATACCACCATAAATAATATCATAATAATATCACCATAATACCAACACAATACAACTACAATGCCACTATAACATCACCACAACATCACCACAAAGTCATCAAACTACCATCATATTACCACTACAATATCATTATATTAACACCATAATACCACCATATTACCATCATAAATCCACCAAAATATCACCATATTACAACTAGAATACTACTATAATATTATCATAATACCACCTTAATACCACTATATTAACACCATAAAACAACCACAATATCATGCTAATACAACTAAAATAACATTATAATATCACTATAGTACTACCATAATATCATTATAATACCACCAAAATATCACTTCAATACCATCAAAATAACACCAAACTATCATCCCAATACCAACACAATACTCTAATACCACCAGAATATAACCCATAAACACCAAAATACTACCATATTACCAACATAATACTAACACAATACCACCACAGTAACATCACAATAATTACAATATCAACGTAATACCACATAATGTAACCATAATAGTACCAAAATACCACCAAATTATCATCCCAATACCACTGAAAAATCACCACAATACTGCCATAATACCAAAAAAAATACTACCATATTACTACAAAAATTCTGCCAAATTATCATCACAATACCACTATAATATCATCAGGAATGTGGTGGTATTACAATAGTGTTATGATGGTATTATGGTGGTTTTGTAGTGGTAATGTGGTTTTATTTTTTTGTTATTGTGATGTTATTAATGTTGTAATGTGGTAAAATTTTGCTGGTATTCTAGTGGAATGATGGTGGTATTTTAGTGGTACTTTGTTTGTATTTTGGTAGTTGTGGGATAATAAAGTATTGATATTGTTGTGAAATTATGGTGATAATGTGATGGTATTGTGGTGGTATTGATGAGATATTGTTGTAGTATTATGATAGTATTGTAGTGATATGTTGGTAATAATATGTTGGTTTAATAATAATATTTTAATGATACCGTGGTTGTATTGTGGTGGTATTATGATTATATTATGGTGATATTGTGATGATATTATTGTGATACTAAGGTGATTAATTGATGGTATCGGAGTTGTGATGTAATGGTACCGTAATGGTATTATGATGGTAATATGGTGGAATTATGGTGCTAATATGGAGGTATTGTGGGGGCAATATCGCAAAATTGTTGTGGTATTATGGTAGTACTTATGAATATTTTTTGTTTTTCCTAACACATTAAACAAATAAACCTTATCAAATCAAATGCATTGTTATCTAATAATAAAACATGAATATATATGGTTAAAATTGATATTTTATATTTTTCCTAACACATTGAGTAACTAAATCTTATCAAATCAAATAGATTGTTCTTCAATGACAAATCATGAATATATGATTATAATGGAAGAGTTGTGTAATATATTGAACAAATGAGATAAAATTGATACGTAAGAATATATTTCTCGGTTACATACAGTTTAAACATGCAAAAAATGAGACATTGAAAAATAAATACAACCAGCTATTACCCCAATTTACGTAGAACCTTTATTTACTTTTTCTTCGTTGGTATTTGTCTTAATTGCTTCCATTTATGGTTAGCTTGTAGATCTTTTACTCCTAACCCTAAAAATTGTACAGTGTAATTTATTTTTTATTAGAGTTTGGAGGTAAAACTGCATCTAGAGTTTGGATTCAATATTTACTCCCAAGTGACTTGCACACTTGTTAGTTTATCCGGTCCGAGGGCCAAGAAAGGATAAGCTATCCACGTCATTATCGTCTTCTTTCTCCGCCATTACCCCCTTGTCTCTTGTCTTCGTCCTTGTCTTCGTCCCCTCCCCTCCCCTCCCCTCCCCTCGTACCTTTCCCGGCTCACCCACAGTGAAGTCGTCTTCTTTCTCCGCTATTTCCTCCTCCCATCCCCTCCTCTCTTCGTCCCTTCATCTATTGCCTTCCCGCACTACCCCGCAGTAAGTCTCTCCTCACGGCCGTTTTCTTTCTCCGCTATTCCTTCTCCAATCCTCTCCTCTCTTCGTCCCCTCCCCTCTTCCCTTCCCAGACCCACCCAACAGTAAGACTCTCCTCTCGGTTTTCAATAATGGACGCAATCACCGACGAAGCAACCTTAGATCCTTTCAAGATTGGCCCCTCTTCCATCATCGGCCGCACCATTGCCCTCCGCGTTTTGTTCTGCAAGTCAATCTCTCAGCTCCGAAGCAGTTTGTCGCTTCTTCTCCGCCGTGCCATCGGCTTCCTACACCCGCGCAACACTCGGGGGATTCTCGCTGCAATGATGCTGATGGCTTTTCTTCTCCGGCGCGGCACCAATGTGCGATCGCGGGCTGAATCGGCTTACCGGCGCAAGTTCTGGAGAAATATTACGCGTTCGGCTGTGACATACGAAGAGTGGGCGCACGCCGCACGGATGCTTGACAGGGAGAATGCGGCAAGAGGTGCGAGCGAGTTTGATTTCTATGACGAGGAGATCGTGCGGAATAAGCTGCAGGAGCTGCGCCATAGGAGGGAGGAGGGGTCGTTGAGGGATATTGTGTTTTGCATGAGGGCGGATTTGCTTAGGAATTTGGGTAATATGTGTAATCCCGAGCTCCACAAGGGTAGACTCCAGGTATGTTTTATTCATCGTTTCCAAAATTATGTTGTTGTTTGATTATCTTCATTGTAGATCTGTAAAGACTTGGTACTGCAGTGAGGGGGCTGGAGATAGTTTGTTGCTTTTTTGGTGTCTTTTGATTGGATGAAATCATCCTCCATAGTTGGCTTTTTGAGAATCTTGGCTGTAGCTGAGTTGTAGGAATTTAGAGGACAGACATTGGAGCAATTGTTAGATTATTTCATTGTGACTATAACTGATGGGTAATGATTCCGACTGCTTAAGTCTCAGGAAAGCTCAAGGAATCTTACCCCGAGGGGTGGCTATGGTAGGCTACATTAGTTTGACCATAGCAATGATCCAGCTCCTAGCACTTAGGAGCTGTTTGGCTGCAAGTAGGATTTAGTAAATCCGTAAATCCACCTAACCCTTGGATTTAGTAAATTTGGATTTAATCCGAATCAAACACAAAATGGGGGGCTTCCAAATCCAAAAATTCTGAAATTCAAGAAACTCCTGCATTTTACCATTTGGCTACATTTAGTAAATTCGTTGATAAACCTTAAAAGGTGCTACCAATCAGCCCCTTAAAGTTGGGCTGCCTACTTTTGTTTTGTTGGCTACAATATCTTGGTTGATTACTTGCCAGGTACCTAATGAGGGTCACTTGCGAGCTACCTTGTTTAAGAGAGGATGCCAAGTGTGGGGGAGTGGGAGTTGTGTAAATTAGAAATTTGAATTTCACTTGAAATATACCAACTTAAAATTCTGACATTAATACATTAACAGAAGTTAAATAATATTGCAAGTAAAAGTGCTATGTTGAAGCTTAAATAATGTAGCAATTAAACAACTAAATAAATACACAAACTCCATGAACACATGGAAAAGAAATGGTCTATCCAATATGAATAAACTAATACAATCCACGATATAATTCATTTTACTCAAACATATTAGACTTTTAATATTGTCAATGTTGGGTCCCAAGTCCCGAATGTGAAAGTAAAGGGTTGTGTTAGACAATTGACATCCAACATAAAATTTTATTAAAAAATTCTGTCATGAATTCTTTAAATCATTCTGTCAATGTTAAAGTCTCACTTGAAGGAGATACACTGTATGACCTAAATAAAGTCGCTGCACTGGCTTTGAAGTGTAATGTTAAATAAATACGGGTTCTCACATTATAGATTAATGTTGACAAATAAGTTAGTTCATGAGATTAATATTATTTTAGTAACCTGGAATATAGGCACTCTCATATTTAAATTAATGAAATTAGTAGATATTTTGATTCATAAGACTATAAATATCTTTTGGATTTAAGAATCTAAATGGGTTGAAGGAAATGCTAAGAAAATTAATAGCTTATGCTTTAAACTTTGGTATTCAGATATGAGTCATACTATTTTAGTCATACTAAAAATAGTGTGTAATTATATATAAGAGTTTGGAAGTTAATGTTGTAAAAATTATTAGAAGATAGAAGTATAGCTCTAAAGATTGTTATCGATAGTAAGATTTTTAATATTGTAAGTGTTTATGCTTTGAATATATGTTTAAAAAAATTTAGAAAGGCCTAGAGGAATTAATACAAAGATTGTCTCTTGAAGAAATAATTTTCATTGGAGGATATTTAAATGAACATGTTAGTAAAATGGTAGAAGATTTTAGAAGTGTTTATGGTGGCTATGACTTTTAGAGTGATTAATAAAGAACATAAAATCATATTGGATTTTGTTGTAGCTTATAATTTTCTTAGTACAAATATTTTATTTAAGAAAAGTTATGAGCATATTATCATTTATAAGAATGAATCTAATAAAACACAAATTGATTATTTTCTTATAAAAAAATAGATTGTCAAGACTGTAAGGTTATTTAAAATAAAAATTTAAGTACCCAACATCGATTATTAATTTTCGATTTTAAGATGAAGGATTAGAAAATGAAATGCAACAAAATATTATTATATAGTTAGATGGGAGCACTTAAAAGAAAAAAAATTATAAGATTTAAGATGTTTATGAGATACTAATAGTATGTAGAATAAAATAACAAGTACTATTAAATAAGTTGCATTAGATGTATTTAAAGAATCAAAAATAAAAACTCTTATGAATAAACATAGTTGGTGATGAAATACTAATGTGAAACATAAGATAATAAAAAAAATTGTATAAAAATTAGTTTAAATGTAAAGTTTGGAGAATTAAAAAAATATAGGGTAGCCCATATGGAGTCTTAGAAAATACTTTGTGATGCTGAGAATTCTATTTTTAATGATCTTTATAGTATATTAGATAAAAAAAATTATTAGATTTGGATATTATGTATAAACTAGCCAAACAAAGAGAAAAAAATAAAGAATTAATTTAAGTAAAGTATATTAAAAATGAAAAATTTAAAAGTATTTTTTTAGATTAGGATATTCACCATAGATGAGATGTTTTGATAAACTTTTTAATAAAGATTATAAAAGTACAATTGATATTAGTGATCTTAATATCGTAAATAATAGTATTTTTTTTTTATTTTCATCGTCGCATTACTAAATTAGAAGTTGATGAGGCTTCAAAGAAAATGAAGTGTGAAAAAGTAATATATTCTGATAATATTCCAATATAGATGTGAAACTGTTAAGAAAATTTGATAATTTCTTTGTTTATAAAACTTTTCAATGTTATTTTAAAAACTAAAAAGATGTCTAATGGGTGGAGAAAGAGTCTTTTGGTTCCTATTTTTAATAATAAAGGGTATCCACAAGATTATGCAAATTATACAAGAAATAAGTTATTGCATCATACATTAAAGTTATTGGGAGAGTAGTTAAACATAGTTTACATGACATAAAAATTTCTCAAAACCAGTTTGGATTCATGCCATGCAAGTCTACTATAGAAGTTATACATTTATTGAGAGGTTTGATGGAAAAGTATAGAGAGAATAAGAAAGATCAACATATGATTTTTGTTGATTTAGAAAAATCATTTAATAAAGTTCCAAGAGGAGTACTTTGGAGAGTTTTAGAAAAGAAATGTGTTAATATTGCTTATGTTCAAGTCATTAAAGATATATACTAGAGTTGTTACTCGTATTTTTACACAAGGAGGATTGACCAAGTATTTTTTTATTGCAGTTGGATTACATTAGGGACTTACTTTGAGCTCATATCCTTTTGCTTTAGTTATGGATATTCTTACTGGACATTTATTGGAGGATTTATCTTAGTGTATGCTTTTCACTGATGATATCCTTCTTGTGGATAAGACTAAGAGAGTGAGAGTTTTGGAAAAAAATTAATTATAGATATCAACTTTGGAGTCTAAAGGCTTTCGTTTGAGTATACCTAAAATTGAATATATGGAATATAATTTTAATAATAGTAGATCTAGTGGCGGGGTTATTATAAAGTGTGATTAAGTTATTAAAAGGAGTGTAGATTTATGGGGTCTATTGTTCAAAGTGATGGTGATATAGATGGGGATGTTATTAGTATAATTCAAGTTGGATGGTTGAAGTGGAGGAATGCATCATGCTTATTTTGTGATTGAAAGGTACTGCTTAGACTAAATGAAAAATTTATAAGATGGTGGTGAGACCTGCAATGCTTTATGGCTCAAAATATTAGCCTGTAATAGAGAAGCATAAAATTAGGTGGTCTTGAGATGAGATTGCTCAAGTTGATGAGTGCTTTTACACTAAGAGACAAAATGCAAAACGAATATATCTGTGACCGGTTTGGAGAGCTCCAGTGGCAGACAAGTTAGAGATTCGCCTTAGATGGTTTGATCATATTAAACGTGGACCGTCTGATAACCCTATTAGGAAAGTAAATGTTTTAGATTTGACTTATGTTAAGAGATGTTGAGGTGGACCTAAAAAAACTTGTAAATATTTTATAAAATTAATCTTAATTTATTAGAATTAAATTGAAATATGATACTCAATAAGACACAATGGAGAAAAAAGGATTCATGTAGCCGACCCCACTTAGTGGGATAAAGTTTTTATTTGTTGTTGTGAAACATATTTGACATGGCACACTTGTTAATATATTAATTTAATCTAGAGATGATGCCACACGAATAAACTTATAATCTTGGCTTATTACTCAACTAAGTGAGTGAGTCTGTTACTATACCAACTGTCAAAATTAATATGCTAAAACATTAAGTTATACGAGTGTCCAAACTAATACATTATTGTAATAATACTAGGGATTATGTTATATGTGAGAGTACTAATAATTTAAGTGTCGATAAATTTATCCTACACTTACATAGTAGCAGAGTAGAAAT